GAAAGCCAATCGAATCAAATAAGGATAAATGATCCTTATATAAGCAATGCAGTAGAGTATGAAAATCTCTAAATAATTTTATAACATGTATCTCATGTATTTTTATGGGAAGGGGAGTCAATATTTAATATTAAACTTACTCTTGTCAAAAGGAGGCAAGAAAGAACTAGGTTACTTGTTCTGGAAACTTACAAAAATGAAAGCAATGTGATAAATCTTTTGTAAGTTATATTTTTATATGTTTGCTCTAAACAGCATTGCTGAATATTTTCTGATAAATTGTACAGGAAATTGGCATCCTTTAAATCTTCTGAGGCGCCAAATAGTAATAGAATATATTAAAATGAAGCATGGCTACAATTTATGGTGAGCATCAAAGACACAGGATAAATTAGTTTTAAATGAGAAAAGTTTATGAATTAATTAAACTATTTTGTTTTTGGCTAGGAAAAATAATTTAGGCCTAGTCATACAGAACTAGCAAATTTCTTTGTTCATGTGGTTGAAATTTTATGGAGATATAAACAATGAAAGGAATTGACAAACTGGAATGTGTCTAAATAAAGAAAAACTGAATTGTTAAAAATCAACAATTGTTCACTCTGGTATATTTAGTCAATAGACATTCTGAAAGCACAGAATATTCATGCCCTGGTGTGTAAGATAAAATCTCAACCCTCAGAGCAACTGTTCTCAGCTTTGTGTTGTAGAAATATTCTATAAGATAATGTTATCTTTTTTTAACTTATCCAGTCAAAATGTTTGTTTAGCTAAGATGCAATTGTTTTTGATAATAAAGCATTTCATGAGAGTACTTCATGGAAAAGGGTGTATGAGGCTAAAGTGTTTCACACTCACTATACTGAAGTGATTTTTTCCTTCCTAGAAGAATTTCAGTAATAGTGGGAATTAAGAAAGCTCTAAGAATATAATTCTAAAACCCAAACGTAACTGAAGAAATCCAGCATTTATTTTATCTGTCATTTGTTCAAGAGTAATGTCCATTGTTTTCCTAATGCCACCAGCACTGTGGCTAGCTCGGATATTATACATTATAGATTCCTTTAATCATATTATTACCTCTACAGAGATAAACACAGCAACTCTGCTGGGGCTTTGTATAGTGTTAGCGCTCACTTGTCATTTCAGTATAAGCAATCACAGTTCGTATATGAAAATCACATGTGTTCCCAATTTCAAGTTGTAAAACAGCAAATTACTGGAAAAAAAATCCTGTGTGTGTGTGTGTATGTGTGTGTGTGTGTGTGTGTGTAGGATTTTTTCTATCCTAATGATAACTGTGTTTCCCATAGAATTCCTCAAATCTGAAAGAATACAGTTACATTCTCACTGAACCACCCCTCACACCCATCTGCCCATACACACACACATGCACAATTACACACACGATACACATACATTCAAATCTACTCTTTTTCTGTAATTATCTACCTTGTTAACTTCAGCTTTTCTTATTTCCTTTCTTAAGCTTTCTTTTGCTTGTCTTTTCCTGTTTTTTGAGTTGGGTATTTAATTTGTTTTCATTCTGTCACTTTTATGGGTGAGTTTGTATTATTAATTTTCCTCTGACCTCTGCTACAAGTATGCTCCAAAAGTTCTTATATATAGTGCTTTCAGTATTTGATTGAATTCTGTAGTTTCAATCTGTATTTCCCTGTTTTACTCAAGATTTATCAAATAAAAGGTTTTTAAAATGTTTCCGGGTAGAAGAGCCTTTTAATTTTTTGATTTGTTAATAACTTCTAGTTATACTGCATTGTAATCAGAGTATTATTGGAAGTATTTCTATGTCATAAGACATTTTGATGTGTTCCTTGTGAACTAGTGTATGAAAACTTTCTAAATGTTCCATAAGCACCTGAAAAGGGAGTGCATTTTCTATTACCAGGGTCTAAAATTTGTTTTATTGATTATATGTTGTTTGGGTCTTCTGGTTCCTTAATTATTTTTGGTTTGTTCACTTAATGTTTCTTGATCTGAGACTGGTAAAGTCTCCTATTACTATGGTGTTTCTATGTTCTACAGTTTTTACTTCATAAAGTGGCAGCTCTATTATATTGTTCATATATATTCATAAATTTCATATCATTTTGAACCATGACATTCAGCATAAAAAAGTATCCATCTTATTAATTCTATTGTTCTTGGGCTTGAATACTGCTTTATTTGCTATCAAGTTCAAATCCTTCCTTTCTTACTGTTTTCATGGGCCCAGTCACCTTTGTCTATTTTGTTTGTTTTTCTGAAACACTTTGTTTCAATTATGTCTCTTGTATACAGCATATGGTCAGGTATTACTGTGTAAAACAAAGTTAAAATCACATTCTTTTAACAAATTAATTCACACTTATTGATATGATTACTATGTCTCAATTCTGTTGGTTTCAATTATGTCACAATATTTTTATAGTTATGTATATTAGGTTATACTTACTATGTTTATTTCTTTAAAGATGTGTATTTTTTCTCTAATTAAAAATTATAATTGGGGAGAAATACATTTTCATTCTAATAAAAAAAAGGGCACCTTTTGTCTTATGTTTTATTTAGAAAACAGTTTTGGGTTAAAATTCGGTGTGGAGTATAATTTTATAATTTTACTTCTAAGTTTGCTAGTTTTTAATTGTATTCTTTAAATTCTACCTATGGCCCATACAACAATCAATAAGCTTATTTTACTGTCTATTTCTCTCGCTTCTCTACTCATATTTAGTTGCTTTATTTCTGCTTTTATACAAACTATAACATCTCTGTATTCTCTTTCGACCCTCATTTCATTGTTTTTCCTTGTATATTGTTTTTAATAAGTCTAATGTTCTTATAAATTATTTGATTCTTTGTCTGGCAGCTTTGAGAGGTTTTGGTTTTGTTTTTTTGAAGTCTAACAATTTTACTATTTTACTAGAGTGAACCTTGGAGATGATCGTTTCGAGTTAATTTTCCCAGGTCCCTAGTGGCACTTTTCAATATGCTGATTCAGGTATTCTTTATTTCTGGAAAATTTTGTTTGATTATACTTTTAAATATTTATCCTAATTTTGATTTTCTTTTGTAAGGACTCTGATGGTATCTATACTATTCTTGTTTTGTATGCCTTCCATTTCCACTACTTTGATCCCTTTAACTTCTTTTCTTACCTCATTTTCATTTTCTTTATTTTCCTACCTCTCTTAAACAGTCTTCATGTGAGAAATAATTTTGTGTTTTCTTCTGTTGCATTCCTGAGTACAATCAGCTCTATAGCTTTCTGATTTTTGTTTGTTTGGAAGCTATTTCTGTTCTGATTCAAAGTGTTTTTTCGTATCCTCAAATGAACATTTGAGAATATTTAATTCAGTTTGGAGCCTAGTCTTAGAATTTTCTTCCGCTTTATGTTCTAGAGGGGAAAAAAAACTGTCAGTTAAGATGTGCTGACTCATATTTTCTGATATGGTACAGTAATTGTTACCAGTTTATTCAGCTTTCTTCTGTTCATTCTGTGGATTGGGGGTGGTTTACAATATTAATAGTTACAATGGCATATTCTTCTGTTAGTGTATCAAGGTCTAGATTCTTTAGTGATCTTTTATCTTGTTTGTGTGTGTGTGCAGTTGAGGGAGGAACAGGTGTCTTTCCCCTTTTGCTTTTGCTCTCACCACCTAATAGCCAGAGGTTACTTCTTCTTTACTTTTTCCCTTTTTCTTCCCCGGAAGCTCTTGAGCTCTGCAATTTCTAGTGGTATGTACTTGTAAACTCCTTCTCTACCATCCGTGCTCTGATCTACCAAGACATACTGGTAGTATTTTCTGACTTAGAGTGGATGTAATCTTTCTGGCAGCGTTTTGGCTCAACTTTGCTCAGGTCACTAGTTCCCTTCATGTTTTTTTGCCCTGTACTTTTCCCCAGATGCTTGGAGTCAAAGTCTTATGACATAGTGGGAACATAAGAGATCTTTTGCTGCCATTGGTGATTTTTTTCCTTCTCTTTTCTTTTTCTTCTTCTTCCTCTTCCTCCTCCTCTTCCTTCTTCTTTTTTTATTTGTTTGCTTACAATTATTTTAAAATTAAGCCCTACTCTATCTTCAGGTACATTGAGTGTATTGTTCATGTGTAGTTTAGTCTTTGTTTTTTTCTCTATTATTAGGTAGAAAATATTGAGGAACATCGATTTAAGCAAGACTAGTTCCTCAGCTACACTATCCACTTCTCTTTTCCATGAGAAACCAGAGTTCAAACATTCCCCACAGGGAATAGCTAGAAGGCATTACCCAAACCCTTCCCAGTCTATGGTTAACTTTATTCTTGAGGCTACATAGGGTACTGTAGTCTAATTAGGTCCAAGGTAAGTTTCCCTTAAAAGTCTCCTTATTAGAATTGCCTCACTTATCCCCTTAAAAATATTCATTCCCCAAAAGTAAGATTGCTGAGTCTTTAGGAAGCAGACCTCCTAGTTTCAATATGTCCGAAGTTCCAGCATAAAAAACTCCAGGGTCATGATCTCCTAAATGGCTTTCTTATAAATAATAAGCACATTCAGCAGCAAAGAATGTAGCTTCATTATTGAAGTTAAAACCTAGAGTAGGCCTTAGGGATTATCTGGTATGACTAAAAATTAAAAACTTATGTAAATAAAGCAATATTTTAAGTTGTCATAGACATTGACTGAGTCATTACCAGAAGCCAGGCCTCCAGAGTCTCAGTCCAGTGCTATTTTGGTTTTTGCACCCAATATGTGTTCATTTATTTTACACTCACAAAAGAAATCACCCACCCTCTGCCTCACCCTCCTAAAAAAAAAACAGTCTCTTTTAACAAACATTTAAAAATTAAAAGTAAATGAAGACAAGTTAATTTCAGTACAAGTATTTTTCAATGTAGCTATCACAGTTATTAAAGTTTAAATTTCTTGCACGTGACCAATGTCCATGTGACTTACAGAACAGTATGGAAAATTCCATAATACCGGTTAGCAACTTCTAGTACAAAAATGGTCTTTCTTTTAAAAATATGGAATGCTTCATGAATTTGCTTGTCATCCTCGCTCAGGGAACCATGCTAATCTTCTTAGTATCATTCCAGTTTTAATATGTGTGCTGCTGAAGCAAGCACCAATGCTGTTTCTTATGCTTTAATGCCTAGTTTGTATGAGAAAATGCTTCAACAGTATCGGGAACTGCATAGTCATTAAGGGTTACATTGAGTACTGTAGCCTGAATAGAAAACTCAGATTCTATGTACTTCCTATAAGTTACTTTACTGCCAACCAGAGCTTCTGAATAGTGCTGAGGACACAGATAATAGTGTTACTTGTGCCCTGAGTTGGTCAAAAGCAAATACAGCTGATCTCCACACCAACCAGTAAATATATGATTCCAGAAAGTTTTATGTAATGTTGAAAATTATTATTGACCTATATTTCCTCCTTTATGAATCAGTGGTCCTCTGTGAACTCATGAACTAGATGGGATCCCATGAACTTGATTTTTTAGATCCCTTTTAACTAGGACATTCTTTGTCTTTCTGATAGTATATACATTAAATCATCATATCATGCAATAGAAGCCTGAGAACACCTACCACATAAATATGCTAAGTTACAGTAAGGGATTGGAATTTTCATGTATTCATAGACAAATATTTTCCTCCATCACGTAAATAATGAGTAAACTTATACATTTAAGGTAGTAGGGTAAAGACTGGTCAAGATGGATTTTCTAGCTGTCAAATACTTGAGCTTCTTTTTAATATCGTCTTCAAATCTAGGATGAAGACTAGATTTGTTTTGCTAGAGACATGTATTTGTCACCACCATCACCTATGGGTATTACATATATAGATGCACAATGCTTTGTCTTAGAAGAGAAGAAGGGAAGACTTCTTTTTCACAGAAGTGACATTTTCTCATGTTGTCAGCAGCTAATTTTCTACTGATGCACTTACAAGTTTTCGTAAACAGTTGAATCAAATATGACACTAACTCTGAATGAAGCATGGCTTTCTTCTTAGAGCATTTGGTGCTGAAATAATGGCAGGAAATAAACACTCACCACTTGCTCTTTTCCACCGTGAAGTTAGTTTCTCTTTGCAAACTCACCAACAACTTTTGATCTCTATACCCAAAGACCATCAATTTACCCAGCATACAAAGGTGGAATATAGTGAACCAGCAGCATCATTTGGCTGTCACCCAGTTAACATCCTATTACAGGTTGAAAAGCAATTTGCCCAATATTTCAACTGCCAGGGAGGATTCTTTATTAGCTTTTGGATAGGTTTGCCTTTCAATCAGATGATTTGAATAGCTTTCGTGGTAGGAGAGATTCTGCCCTCAGATAATGATTTTGCATTTCACCTCATCATTAATGCTTTGGACCTCAAGGGAAGTCACTGTGCCTTTTATGAAGGTTGAAGCATTTTATAACCTTAATAAAGACTCATAGCCTCAGGAACAGCAAGTGTGGGGGATTGACTGAATAATAATATAACTAAATTGCCACTTCAGACTACACTATTTGGAGGATTTCAAATGCAAATCAACAGTTAAATAGTACAATGGCACCCCAAACTTCAGTACTATTCAAAAATACATATAAAGAAAAATGAGAGAAATTATCTTTTTCTCTTTTCTTGAAAAGTTTTTTTTCCTGTAATTTTATATTTAATTGCTAAATATTTCACATGGGTGCTATACAGAGATAGGTTAACAAGTATCCTGTAGATTTAAATTCAAAGCAATTAATAGTCATAGTGGTTCTTAGCTATTATAAATTTATTACTATATAGAATTTAAGTCACCGTATTTTGAAGTGTGAAATGAATACAAGAGAGTAAGCAAAAGTGATTATGAAATCTATATCATTGTCTGCATTTCCCAAAAGATAGGTCACTCTGTCCCAAATATTACTAATATATCACAGCTGTAATAACTTACTTAAGGGTACTCTCCAGCAGAATCACCCCAATTTATAAATTCAGTGAACTCTTTTTTAGTTTTCCTAGGCTTCTGCTTCCTTCCTTCAGGCAGAGCTTACTGGTAATAGTTATGTTCATAAGAACTAAGAAAGAAATCAGGAGTCGCTATGCCAGGCACTATGAGAGAATAATATCTCATCTTCTTTGACCTTCATAGAAACCTTTAGAGGAAGGTATATTATTCCTATTTACAGACTGCAGATCAGAGAGATTAAATCATTTTGTCAGTTGTGAATTTATTCTGTCTTTCTAGTACAGCAATAATAGAGATCAGGCCAGGAAGATAGAAAAAAGACACTAATAGGACCATGATTTGAATGCCTGACATGATCCTCAGACTGCTAACACACTGGACCAGAGGGCTGGTTCTCAAGGTGAATACTGGGGAGCCCGAGAAGATAGGCTGACTCTGAGGCAAGTAAACTCTGGTTTAAGTTAGCAGCTTGAAGTAGAAACTGAATAGTCAAACTTGCAGATTGGCAACTGGCTAGAAGGCTACTGGGGTTTCCCCCAAAATTATCCAATAAGCTACAACAAAATTTCAAATTTTCAACTTTATTTGCCCACTACTCTATGGACTCAAGCTATGTGAGGGCAGGATGTGGATCTATTTTTCACTTTATCCCAAATATGCAGAAAATGTTTGCTATAAAAAGCAGGTTCTCAATAAATGAATAATAAATAAAGGTGATAAAAATTTAAGCTAGGGAGAAGGCAAAAGTCAGGGTTAGGATTCAGATACCCATCCTAAGCCCAAAAGAACTATTTCTGGGAGTAGGTAGCACTTGGCAACTGGAACACATTAGTGTGCCCAAGACTTACAGAACTTAAGAATAATGCTTAGTAACTTTAATTCTTTCATTAAAATCTGCCATATCAATATGTTGACTTTTAGAACCCAAGCTTCCCTCCAGCTGGCTAGACTTGTATTGCAGAGCAGAAAGCCATGTGATTGTTTATTCAATATATTCCTAGTCTTTATAACTTGTAAATATACCCATCACTGACTCAAACCTGTAGCTGATCTGTCCTGGGTCACTCATTCCAGCTCCAATAAGCACCATATCTCAGCCCAGGTCCTAAAATGTCTTTATCCTCTTACTTTAACCTTTGTTTATTCATTTACTCCTTTGTTCTCAAATATTTATTACTGCCATACTGTACCAGGCAAAGGGGATATATTAGCTTAACAGCCATCAGGGAACATACCAGTTGAGGGAAAACAGGGAAACTATGTACAAGGCTTTGATAAGGAAAAAGTATGGAATGCTAGTAAGTCACATGCTTGGTATTCCCAGGCATTTTGCCTGAGGTCTGAGTGTCTTCCTGACATTTTCTCCCGTTATTCAAGTCTTTTTGTCAGTAGATATAGCAAAGGGATATTGTTAAAGAAATTGATCAACACAGGATGTGTCACATGTCTCAGCATCAAGAATAGTCCTACTTATATACAATAGAATACTACTCAGCCATAAGAAAAGATGACATTCTGCCATTTTCAACAACATAGATAAATCTTGAGAATCTCATGCTAAGCAAAATAAGTCAGACAGGAAAAGTCAAGAACCATAAGGTTTCACTCATCTATAGAATATGAAACTGAAAGCAACAAATGAACAACCAAGACAAATAACAAAAACTCACAGAAGGAAAACAGTATGGTGGTTATCAGAGAGAAAGTGGGGTGAGGAAGGTAGAAGAGGGTAAAAGGGTCAAATATATGATGACTAAAAGACTTGAATTTGGGGAAACACACAATGCAATATACAGATAATATGTTACAGAATTGTATAAAAAAAGAAAAAGAAAAAAGATGACTATTATAAAAGATTGCATTAAAAAAAAGTTTGCATTGGTTAATTGGAAAAAAAAAAAAAGAATAGCCCTACTTCTTGCATCAGCTTGTTTGTCTTCATGGACACTGAATCTTGAGCTAATGTGTATTCCCTCTTTGCTCTTAAACCGGGACAATTAAAGCTAGATGTGCAACCTTTGCCTGCAGTTATAGGTACTAATTTAATCCTTTCATGATCTTGTTTTCCATTTCTCATTCCCTTCACTACTAACTTCATTCCCTTATCTTTTTAAGTTGCCTCGAGGAGTTGAATACGATGAGATATAAGTAAATAAATATATCAACCCAGAAATACTCCTTTTACCTATTGGGCATTTGGTGAGTTTGTACATAGCAAATTTATCTTATATGTTTATTTTCTTTCCTGGACAACTGGACTGAGAGTAAGATTGAAATTCCCTTTTAATATTTAAGTGTTTGAGGGGCCTAGAGGTATTACTTTCAATATAATGAAGACAGACAGAGAAAGATTATACATTCATTTGAATGAATATTCACCCCTTCCTTCACTCACCACTGATAGGGCCATTCTGTGCAAGGTACTGTTTTAAGCACTGGGAGACTAAGTAGCACAAATTTAAAAAAGATAAAAATCTTTGCCCTCAGGGAGCTGACATTCTAGAAGAGACAAACATATGCTCTGTTCAAAGACAGAAGTGTTACAATGAAAGATGATGCAGGGAAGGGGAATAGAGATAGATATTGTTTTATACAAGAAGGTCAGAGAAAAAAGCCCCTGATAAAATATCTAAGGAATATGAAAAAATGGTGAGGTTTTCTGGGAAAGAACCCAGGCAGAGGGAACAGCAATTTTGAAGACCCTAATACAGGAGTCATGCTGGCAAGTTTGAGGACTACTAAGGAGGCCACTGTGACTAGAATGATGAGAGTTAATAGAAAACGAGGTCAGGAAGGTAAAAATCTTTCACAAGAAGCAAGGGGGAAAACAGAGGGACCATTTTGGAGACTATTTGAAACAAACCAGAGAAGCAATGATAGTGGCTTAGATGACAGCGGAAACGGTGAAAGTGCTGTGAAATAATCAGATTCAGAGACATTGTAAAGAGAAAGCTGAGCTATTTATGAATAGATAATGATATGAGCATCCAGAATTCCAGTTTGTGAATAGGAAACAGAGGACCGATTAAGTTGACTAAATTGAACAATAGGGTAGAAAAGTACAAGTCAAGAAAGAGTGAAACCCGAGTACAGAAATGAGAATCTGGGTAAAAGCCAGGAATGAAGAGGGAGCAGATATAGAATGGAATAAGGACAAGAAAAT